CGGCGTCGTCTTCGGGCTCTCCCTCGTCTACTTCCTCACTAGCACCTTGAAGCAGGTCAGTGCCCTCCCCGGAGCCCCCGTCCCGAGGTACGGCCCGGTCCCGGCACGCTGCGGGGTGGGTTAAATAATCCACCGTCCCAGGGTAACTTTTGTTCTTCCAAGTGCTGTCGCTGAACTCCTGGAATATGTTGCCGTAAAAATTACAGCATAATTATTAAATAAAGGCAAGAGTTAAAAAAAGTTATGTCTGATGCTGTATTTGACAGCAATAGTGTTTTGAACCAAAACTGCGAAAAAATAACCTTGAAGGGACTTGATTATTTTGTTGCAGTATCTCTTGTGAGCTGTAATTCCACTAGCCAAAGACTTTATGAAATATGTGTACCTAGGTTGTTGGGTTTTTTTTAAATATAATATGTGCTACTTTTGTGGTTGTAGTAACTGAATTCAGCTGTGCTAGCTGATCCTGTGGTCAATTTGAGTACCCCTGTTTTACTGGATTATGTTGCTTTCATGCTGTGTATAGCAAAAAGCAAGCTACTGCAAGTAATCTGTTGCTTTTGACATGTGAGTCTCCTGTGCTGCGGAGTTCACAACTACTGGGTGCTTTTAATTGTGGGAAAAGCACGTGGTTTGGAATAGCAGAAGGAACTCGTGTGTTTGATTGCATTGCTGTCTCTCTTTGCAGGAAGAGAGGACAGTGAGAGATCGGAATCTCCTCCAAGTGCAAGAGCATGAGCAACCGATCATGTGGAAGGTGAAGTTCAGTTCGGGAAACAGCAGTCAGCTGAGTAACCAGTGCAGGAATTCTGTGCAGGGGAAGCTCCTCATTACAGATGAACTGGGTATACTTGATACTAAGAATTTATTCTGTGTATTGCAGTGTTGAATGCTGCTTTGCCTGTCCAAGTGTTGATGGCACATCCAAGTAACAACTGCTCCTTATTAAGGCCTTCTTCCCGCAGAACCCCAGCTGTTGGCTTTTTATCCTCAGACTGGATTAATTTTCCTGTGGCTGCAGACACTGCTGATCTGATTCTGTGCACAGCAGATTTGGGTCCAGCTCAGGCCTGGTACCTTAGAAATGTGGCAGTACTGTTTCCAGGACCACCTTAGATTCAAAGAACTTCAGTTATCTTTGTGTGGAACTCAAACATTGAGTCCCACTCAATTTAGCGTGGCTGCTTGCAGAGCTATTTGTATGTCCCTGCAGTGTATTCCTACTGTCAGGTGTGTTAGGGAGAGTAATTGGGGAAACCTGATTGGCCTTGTATGTAGGCAGCTCAGGACTGGTTTAATTAGTGCTCAGTCACAGTTAACAACTCATCTGACCCTTTTCGACCCAAAGATATCTCTTGCAAGTTCTCAAATAAACCACTTGTTTTAAGTGCATGAAGCCTTTCCTTTCCTGCTATGCACATATGCTTCCCCAGTGTGCTTGTTGCTCGGGCACTGGACCTTTCTTGACCAGAAATCAAGGCTGTAGAAAAACCGCCACATCTTCTGTGATTTGCATCAGTATTAAATGCAGGACTGCCTGAATTACGCTTACTGCTGATTCACTAAGGTCTCTAAAATCACAGATATCTTTCACAGTCTGACAGTGTGGTAGTACAGTTTCCATAGGGACATACACTGTGGTTCTGTACTAGTAAGAATTCCTCTCAACAATTAATATTACAACTATCCTGTGTGGATAAATCTAAGTGTCTTCATAGTGAACTATAAAGAGAGTTATCCGGATGCAGACCAGTTGAAAGAACGTATGTCATAGTTTTCTCCAGTAGAATTGTCACCAATCACCTTTCTCCTTCCAATCACAAAGATGAATTATGCCAAAAAGAAATCAGAACTTAAATATTCTGCATTTAAAGACTCATACTGTATATACAGCATATTAGAGTAGGTACAGAATAGCTGTGCACATAATACAAGGCTATTATAAAACTCAGTTCTATGTCCAAGTGTTAATTCAAAGAATTGCTAGTTAGGACTTGAGTCAAACTGAGAACAATCACAATCTACTAAATGATAAATAAGCCTGTTCTTAAGTAATGTGATTCTTACTATAGATTTCTATAGAACATAAAAAGCAATATGTTTTGCCAGTTGTTACTATTGTTTTTGTTTTTCAGGCTACATCTGTGAGAGGAAGGACCTATTGATAAATGGCTGTTGTAACGTCAACGTACCCAGTACGAAGCTGTACAGCTGTGACAGCTGCCTTCCCAATGGCTGCTGCAGTGTGTACGAGTACTGTGTTTCCTGTTGCCTGCAGCCCAGCAAGGTGCACTACCTCTCCTGCTTTTTAGGTGTTTTCAGGTGCCTCTGTGGCTAAAAATGCTGGTTTGAGAGGAGCTTTTTCCTTAGAAGGGACAGTTCCTTTTCTTGGAAGGATGAGGAAAGTCTGCAAGGACCATATGGCAAGCTATAAATAAAGCTTTAAAAAAATCCATCCTTCCCACCTCAAGAGAAAATACTGGGAGCGTTGCAAAATGTTTCAGCTTCAGGAGAATTGTGTTTGCTGAAGGGAAATGATTGCAGAAAAGCTGTTCCAGCCAGTATAAGTTTTGCAATTAGCACTTCCCTGTATTCTGTTAGCTTCTCTAGATTCTCTTCCTACTGCTGGGGTTCTGTGATGTGTTAACCTTTCAGTGCTTGCTAGAAATTCTAAGTGGACTTGCTTGCTATTCCTCTGATACTTGAGCTGTGTAGGTTAAGGTGGGCTTTGATTACTCCTTGTTGAAGTATGGTGTTTGTGGGTTTTTTTGATTTGTCGTCTTTATTGCTAACTTCAGCAACATCTTCTGGAACGTTTCTTGAACCGGGCAGCTATTGCTTTCCAAAACCTCTTCATGGCAGTGGAAGATCGTTTTGAGTTGTGTCTGGCAAAATGTAGGACTTCATCACAGGTAAGACACAAGTACATGTCCAGGGCTCAAAAATGGAAAAATACCTAAAAAGTGCCCTTGGAAAATGGGACTGGTCTCTTGTGCTTGCGTGCACATGGGCATTTTCATAAATGCTGAAGCTATGGCTGAGAGCTAATCTGAAGGCAATCCGCTGATTTGTAAGGTGAAATAGCGACATAGCAGTAAATGAAGGGCAAAGCGCCTATTTCATAGAATCGTAGAATGGATTGGGCCAAGGGCAGGGATGCCCTCCACTAGACTAGGTTGCCCAAAGCCTCATTTAGAGCAGGATGAGTTGTACACGCTTTTCTAAAAAGAGGTACGTAACTAAAAAGAGACTAGCTGAGTTCAATGACCAGTGAAGATCTCGGATGAGTACCGGGGAAGATCTCATAACAGTGAGAGTTGTTCCCAGTAGCTTCAGAATGCTATTTACTTTAGGGTCCATTTTTAGACTTAGCATATGCTGACAATCATCTGTATAGTAACTCAAAAACTATGTTGTAGTGTGTTTGCTTTTTAAGAACAGAGGTGAACTTCTGTTACCCATGTGATTTTTATTAGAAGTTTTGGTCTAAGCAAGCATCGGCCCTCTTAAAAAGTGCTGTTGGAGATGTCATGCAGCTGAGTATTTAATATAGCAATAGGGATGGATTGCAAAGGACATAGTTCCAAATATCTCCAAAGCTGCTTTTTTTCTTATGCATAGTATCTGAACTGTAGCTTTATCAAAAGTGCATGCATCTCAAGTAGCAACTTCATTATACCTTGCTTAGGATATTTGACGGTACTGCCTAAGCATATATAATTCTTTTTTTAATATTGCATCTGTCCCCACTTACTTGGGTGAAAAGGAGGTTCTGGGTATGTTTCAGCATTAAAATGCTATAATATAGCAACTGTCTTTTATATGTTGGGAGCGCAGTCTTGTTTGACTCCAGATGATATTCTAATGTGCAGAAGAATTTGGGAAGTTTTTTGCAGATGTATAAATGCTGTGGGTTTTGGCCCTCAGTGAAGGGATGTATTGTTTCAATATGTGTGTATTGTTAAAGCTTGTCCTCCTCTTCCCGACAGAGCGTGCAGCATGAAAACACCTATAGAGATCCAATTGCAAAATACTGCTATGGTGAATATCCCCCAGAGCTTCTGCCTGTTTGAAAGCTGCATGAGCTAAGCAACAAGGGAAAGGAACTGGAGACTAGAATCCAAAAAAGCAAGACAACAGCTGCTGCTTTACAACAGACTCAGTGTAACTGGCTATTTCGTTTCTGGGCACAAACCCAGAGGTGTACAGCGTAAGTGAGGGACTTAAGTTCTCCAGGATTGAATCTTGCTTTCTTCAGTTTGTTATGCACCTGCTTTTGAGTACTAGGTACTAGTACTGTATTAGAGTACTAGTACATTCTTTGAATACTTCCTCTAAATTTTAGGATGCACAGAGTCAATCTAGGCTATAAAGCATCATAGGAAAAACATCTAATGTCGCTTTGCAGCTGTATGTGGAGGTTCAGTTGTGTCTCTGCAGTCCAGAGACTTTCCAGAGTGATGGTAATAACTGGAGGATTTTTGCCTTTAGAGCGTAAAGCATGCCTTGTGCTTCTCTCTCTGGAGCACTTCTTGACATGCATGGTGTACACTACATGTGTAATTATGGATTATTTATTCATTTTATATGGATGACTAGCTGAAAGTATTGATGCTTTGCATAGCTAGTTGTTGATGCCTTTCAGTCCTTGTTTTCTTATGTCAGGTAGAAAGGATATTTTAGATCCTGACTAAAATTGGTTGGTTTTTCCCTCCTTAGTGTAAAGGAATTCATCACTATAGTGCTTATGTTCCTCTTACTGAGTTTAAAGCATTCAGAACTCCAATGGAGTTGTTATTCTGTCAAAGTCCCATAACATGAGAAGAGCAGGGATCTGCCTAGGATGGTATGTTTATTGTCTGTAAACGCTTTCCTTGATACTCTGCCACAGTTTCCTCGAAGAGGAATCTTAGTCTTATAAACAGCTCTCTGCTAGTTCACTTTCTGACAGGGAGCGCTGAAGATTTGTTTGCTTGAACTTGTTCAGGCCTTGGTAATTCAAATGTACTTTGCTCCTGGTTGTGCAGGAGGTGAAAGGGTGGAGTTCTAGGATTTCAGTTGAATGATGTCCGTGTGCATGTAGTAAGAATGTCAGAACATGGCACAAGCCCTCCTCTGAGGACAACCATGTTGCATCAGTTGAGTTAAACAGTCATGGTTTTGATTTGCTGTTTGACATACTTGCTATTCTGGAATTTCGGTCTGATCAGAATGGCACTAGAACAGGGTTGGTTCTCCCACAGTTTCTCCTAGCTCTCTGAAGTTGCATTTTAAACTGTCTCCATCTTAAGGCCACTCAACACAGAAAAGATGGATAGAGAGCACCTCTAAAATGCTGACTAAATTTGTTCTCCCCTTGCAAGTCATTGGGCTGTTCTTTTCTATATGCAGAGCCTCATTTCTCTTGCTTTTACCCCATTCATCTTCTCCATGATTTTTACTTTGCATATGCTTATTTAAATTGATACTTCCTATTCCCTGACTGGAATAAAACAATCTACAGAGGCTTTAAAAAAAACAACAAACAAAACCAAAACAACAACCAAGCTCAGTGGTAGAGTATCCTCGTGCAATACATGTGTACAATGCTATTGCAATTACATATGATATCAACAAGAAGCAGTGTTACCAGCCATCTGATAAAATCCACTTGCATTGTTGTCATTGTTCTTTCCCAGAAGTCATCAAGTGAGATAATGGTTCCGTCAGCAGATTCTCTTGAAAATCTTGTTTCTCCAAAAGCTTAAAAGCTTTAGCATTAGCAGTTTATCCAGCTGAAAATCTCTCCCCTTTGCTGCCATCCTATGGCAACTTGCTGCAGCAGACATGATACAGTGTGAAGATGCACTCTGAAGTGCTGTCTTCAGAGGGTAGCAAAGGTTACTTCTCTTTTCAGTGTTAAACAGATTCTTCACCTCTGTTCCAGCACTTCATAACTGTTTTCCTCAGGGAATGCTATCAGGTTGGTCTTACTATATCATTCTTGCTGACATGTATTCCAGCACTTCATGTTTTTGCACCACAACTGCTGAGATCAAGATACTGATGACTTGCTCTTGCTTTCTTTTTCAACTTGGTATAAATTCCTTAGTAGGTGATACCACCACTTGAAGCAGTAATAGTAAGAAATCGTAAGAACCAACCTAATTCAGACAACATTAGTGGGAATTCCTGGCCGCCTTCTCTTCTAGAAAAACAGGATGTGATCAGAAGTGCATTGTGACCATTGCCATTCAATGGGACAGAAACAGCATCCTCCCTCTGTGGTTGTGGAGCTGTTCAACTAGTGTCTATACTATGTGTTAAATCATTAAAAAATTATCTGTGTTCCAAAATACTGTCTGTTCTCATGTCTTTCCTTGAACTGCAAAGCGACTGTACCAAAATGTAAGTTTGAAGAATGCAGTGGAGCAGAGAGGGATACTAACTTCAATATGTGTAATGGTTCCTCAGTGGTGGCTCTGGCAGGGAAAGGCCAAGTAAGGCAAGCAAGTAGTGGCAAACAGGAATTTCATTTCAATCTAAGAAAAGAGCATGCTTCCCTCAGCCCTGTGCAAAAGTGGATTGAGTGGGGAAGGGGATGCGAATGATTGCTTCATGTTGTGAAGATATGGTGAGAAATGTTAAATCTGTGCTTCCTGATAATGCTTCTGTGTGGTTTAAACGATGCCCATCCCTCTTGCAAAAAAACCCTGGTGATTCTGTGGTTGTCAGTGGCTTTCCCTCAGTGGTGCACAGAAAGGTCTAGCCCTGTGCAAAAGTGGATTGAGCGGGGAAGGGGATGCGAATGATTGCTTCATGTTGTGAAGATATGGTGAGAAATGTTAAATCTGTGCTTCCTGATAATGCTTCTGTGTGGTTTAAACGATGCCCATCCCTCTTGCAAAAAAACCCTGGTGATTCTGTGGTTGTCAGTGGCTGTCTGACATCTTCCTATTTGTCAGCTAAGAGACTTGCATTGTTGACTTGTGTTTGGCAGCAGATTTAATGAGAGCACTTGATGGAGTGACTAGCTCTGCTGATCTGCACTGAGGTCAATGCTGGGGATAATTGAATGGGTTGTGTACTCCTTGATTTCTGTAGTTTACAAGAATATTAATGCTAGTGAAAAATGGTAGCAGCTGACATCTAATGAGGAACAGGTATAGTATCTGGCTGTACCAATTTAGAAAGAGTAATCTATGGCAGAAGGGCAAAGCAGTAACTGCTATCTTAGCTGAATTTAAACTTGAGCTGTTGGCCTGGAAAGAACCTGCTGTATTGCTCCATTGGCATGGTAAATGGACAATTGGATAAAAATTCCTCTTCTGATGGGCTGGAGTTCTGAAAAGGCAAAAGCAGACTTATGGCTTGAGGCCAATACTAAACAGTTGATGAGCTGGGATCATGGCTTCTCTGTTCTCAGAATCTCACTCATTGCAGTGGCAATTCTTCACTCTATCCCCGTAAGTGCTCAGGCTCTAATCACTTGGAGAACTTTCTAACAAGCTATGTTAGTAGTCAGTTTTGGAGTATAAAGCACTAAGCACAGCAAATCCTAAACATGAGTCTTAATTCTGATATGCTGTTAAAAAGCAAACACTTTTTTGACTTCCCTTGTCACTTAGCTGCACAGGCTTAAGCTTTAGGATTTGTTCTGCCTTGTGCTAGTCACTTAAAGTGCAAACACACTAGTTCCTTTAACCTAGCACCATAATGTGATATTTGTTCTTCAGTTATTCTAGTCAAGGAGATGTGGGGGAGGAGGTAAAAAAGGAATTATCTAACTCAGCAAGTGCCACAAAAGATGGAGTTCAGCAAATTACTGGTGCTTTAGTAAGAGTACTCTGCATTTCTGTACAACCCAAGGCAAACAACTAACTATATATGCAGAGGGGGAAAAATGCCAACTTCAAAACTTGCAGGGAATGATGGGAAGGTACTTCTTAATTTTTGATCTGTGTCTAATTAAACAGGCAGTTCTGTCCAAGAGTGTTTTTTTTTTGGTCAAATAAGGTCTGACTTGTAGCAACATGCATATTGTCTACACGTTTTCTGTTTTTGAGGCAGTCATATGGCCACAGATTTTTCTTAGAAATCATGGTGGTTCTTAGGTTAGAAGTATTGGTCTTAAGTAAGAATTCTCAGGATGCTATCAGATTGAAGCATGTTTGCTGCTGTGTTCTGGTTGCCTATGGTGAAACAAGACAAAGTTGCAGAGTAAAGAAAGAAATTAATTCCAGCTGAGAAGCTTGCCTTGTGGAAGCTTTTCTAGTATGCCTTTCAATTAAGGGGACAGAAGACCACAAGCTATAGTTGCAAATGGAAGGGTAGACAGGTGTTAATTCACCTGTGAGATTACTACTAATCTATTTCTACTATTAGTAGTTGAAATGAGGATTAGCACCTGATTTCTTGCCAGTTTCATGGAAGCTTTCAATAAAATCCAGCTCTCATTTATCCAGTATGTTTTCTGTCTCTCTGCATGCACCTACACACTAAGGCACACTAATAGGAATCAAGGTGAATGGGAGTCATATGTCAATTTATCTGCATTTTGTTCATGTCCTACACAAAATTTGTTCAGATTTTAAATTCCTCAGAGCAGGAAGGCAACTCTACATTTGTATTTCCTATGACTTCTGACCATGGCCTCACCTAGAGCCACCTATTATTATGAATAGTACCAGTCTTACACACAAAACCCCACTATTTCTTTTTTTAGAAGTTGGTTATGTCACAGGTGCCCAGCCACTTCAACATCCTAAACTACTGACATTTATATGCATAAAAATGCATCTCAGCTGTGTAAGATGACACTGGGTATGCTGTATCCACATCTTCAAACTGAAAAATGTAGGTTATTTGCAAAATACAGTTACTGATTACTAATGAAAGTTGTGCCATCTGAGGAAATTAACATGTTCATATTGGGTGAACAGGGTCCTAATTTATCTAAATTGCTGATGCCTTAAAAAAATACACATTAAATTAAAAATATCCCAATCCTTTGTAGTAGGAAATGCATACAAAAGTATGATGAGTAAGCAAATGTAATATTCCTCTTCTATTATTTTTTTTGTCTGTTCAACTTCTTGTGTCAGCCTACAAGCTTACTCCTACTAGCATGTCTCAACTGGTGTAACAGCAAGGATCAGCCAGCAGAGGTTACCACAGCATTTGGAGAAAAGCTGGTCTCCTCCCCCTGGAGCCAGGCTGGCAGATGGCTCTTAGAGCTAAATCTCACCGGGCAAAAGTACAGAACAAAAGCCATTACATTGCTCCAGGATAACGTGTGGAGCATCTGT